GTGGCATACGGCGGTCACACAACACGCCAGATATACTCTTCCACTTCATCCATCCAGCTTGTATTCTATGGTTGAGATCTCTATCTAATTCTCCGTTCTTTTGCAAGATAGATCCTAAGTAGCTAAAACGATTGCTCTTTGGTATTTCCTGATCTCCGATCCTCACCCCTAACTCATTTTGGCCTCCATTTGCACTGAACTTGCACTCCATATATTTTGTCTTTGATTGGCTTAGGCGAAGACCTTTAGATTCCAACATTTCTCTCCAAAGGTTAAGCTTCGCATTTACCCCTTCCTGAGTTTCATCTATCAACACTATATCGTCTGCGAAAAGCATACACCAAGGAATATCATCTTGAATATGTCTTGTTAACTCATCCATTACCAACGCAAAAAGGTAAGAACTTAAGGATGAGCCTTGATGTAATCCTACAGTTATGGGAAAGCTTTCGGTTTGTCATTCATGAGTTCTTACGGCAGTCTTTACTCCTTCATACATATCCTTTATAGCTTGGATATATGCTACTCGTACTCATTTCTTCTCTAAAATCCTCCAAAGAATGTCTCTTGGGACCCTATCATACGCTTTTTCCAAATCTATAAAGACCATGTGTAAATCCTTTTTCCCATCTCTATATCTTTCCATCAATCTTCGTAAGAGATAGATTGCCTCCATGGTTGAGCGCCCTGGCATGAACCCGAATTGGTTGTCCGAAACTCGTGTCTCTTGCCTCAATCTATGCTCAATGACGCTCTCCCAGAGCTTCATTGTATGACTCATTAGCTTAATACCCCTATAGTTCATGCAATTTTGTACGTCACCCTTATTCTTGTAGATAGGCACCAAAGTGCTCTTTCGCCACTCATTTGGCATCTTCTTCGTTTCAAAATCCTATTAAAAAGGTCAGTGAGCCATGTTATACCTGTCTCTCCCAAGACTTTCCACACTTCGATCGGTATATCGTCTGGGCCCACTGCTTTTCTGTGCTTCATCTTCTTCAAAGCTATAACCACTTCTTCCTTCCTGATTCGACGATAAAAAAAGTAGTTTCTACACTCTTCTGAGTTACTCAACTCCCCTAAAGAAGTACTCATTTCGTGTCCTTCATTGAAAAGATTATGAAAATAACCTCTCCATCTGTCTTTGACCGCGTTCTCTATAGCAAGAACCTTTCCATTATCATCCTTGATGCACCTCACTTGGTTTAGGTCCCTTGTCTTCTTTTCCCTTGCTCTAGCTAGTTTATAGATATCCAACTCTCCTTCTTTGGTATCTAGTCGCTTATACATATCGTCATAAGCTGCTAACTTAGCTTCTCTCACAGCTTTCTTCGCCTCTTACTTCGCTCTTCTAAACCTTTCACCATTTTCATCGGTCTTGTCCTTGTATAAGGCTTTACAACATTCCTTCTTAGCCTTCACCTTTGTTTGTACCTCCTCATTCCACTACCAAGATTCATTTTGGTGTGGAGCAAAGCTTGTGGACTTTCCTAATACCTCTTTTGCTACTTTTCGGATACAACTAGCCATGGAATCCTACATTTGGCTAGCTTCCCCCTTTCTATCCCACACACACTGGGTGATTACTTTCTCTTTGAAAATGGCTTGTTTTTCTCCTTTTAGATTCCACCATCTAGTCCTTGGGCACTTCCAAGTCTTGTTCTTTTTTCTCCCTCTTTTGATATGTACATCTATCACCAACAAACGATGTTGATTAAGCAAGCTCTCTCCCGGTATAACTTTGCAATCCTTACAAGTTATACGATCCCCTTTCCTCATTAGAAGAAAATCTATTTGTGTTTTTGACGACCCACTCTTGTAAGTGATCACATGTTCTTCTCTCTTCTTAAAGAAGGTGTTGGCTAAGAAGAGATCATATGCCATTGCACAATCCAAGATAGCTTCCTCATCCTCATTTCTCTCCCCAAAACCATGGCCACCATGAAAACCTCCATAGTTGCCTATCTCCCTGCCCACGTGTCCATTTAAATCTCCTCCTATAAATAACTTCTCCGTTTGGGCAATTCCTTGCACCAAGTCTCCAAGGTCTTCCCAAAATTTCTCCTTCGAACTCGTATCCAACCCTACTTGAGGTGCGTACGCACTAATCACATTGATGAGTTCTTGTCCTATTACAATCTTGATTGCCATGATTCTATTTCCTACCCTCTTGACATCTACAACATTTTGTGTCAAGGTCTTGTCCACGATGATGCCAACACCGTTTCTTGTTCTATTTGTGCCCGAATACCAAAGTTTAAACCCTGAGTTTTCTAGATCCTTTGCCTTAAGACCAACCCACTTAGTTTCTTGTATGCACATAATATTTATCATTCTCCTCACCATAACTTCCATTACTTCCATAGATTTTCCCGTTAAGGTTCCTATATTCCACGTTCCTAAACGCATTCTACTCTCTTGAACTCTACCCTTCTGTCCTAGCTTCTTCACCCTCCCCCGTCAAATAGGATCAAAGTACTTCTTTTGTGTGTCCTGTGTAAAGTTGATAGGAGCATATGCTCCCAAACAACTTTGAGTGAAGTTGTTCGAAAAGAAGTTTCTATGACCCCCTTGCTCATTTAACACTGCATCCGGGTGCTGATGGAGATACAGCGACCCTTGCTCACTTATCACTGTGCTCGGGCCACACAGCGCGCCACTTACGGGTGACGCCCTAGCTTTAGGACGATTTCGTTCTGGATTCATTTTCATAAGGATTCGACGTAACCGAGGAGTGCTGGCTGTCGACTACCTGACGCCCTCCCCCTCCTCCTTTACCCGGGCTTGAGACCGGCAATGTAAGATAAACCTACACAAACGGAGTTTGAGAAGAAACAAATGACCGCGTAAATTAAATTTCAAATCTTCCATCACACCTATATTGTAATTGGAGCAAAAATAAAAAACCTAAATTGTAATTAGCTAAGGCACCCTTGATTCTTTTCCAGTGAACCACCAAATTTTGCCGAAAAGCAAAGCGTTTCGCTGGATAGAGTGCTCATTATTCACTTATGCTTGTAAAACCAACAAAAGGGTAATTTCGCATTCTCCATAATTATACTTAATGCCAATATGCATAGCTAATATACTATGTTAATATACTTAAGTTACCACTAAGTCTTTTAAGAAACATTGGTAATTCATAGAATATGCAACTTTATCCATTAGATTCACAAGTTCATGGTGTGAGACATTTCATAGACCCCATATCAAGATTGAGGAAGTACAAGTAGTGATCTTAAACATTCATGGTAAGCTTTGATCAGTTTCAGCGCCCGCACAAGCCTTCAAGCAGCGGCACTGGCGAAGGATATGGGAGCATTTGCCATAACCGTGACCCTCACTTCGGCATCTCACGATACAGTTGGCGTCTTTGAAGCATAGCCCTCTGAATGTTTTGCTTGGCTCTTCACAAATCCTTGCTTCACTGTGCATCACCATCTCTTCTGTATATATTACTTTAGTTAATTATGTACTTCTCAACATGCATGTAAAAAATCATGCGAAAGTTTAACTACATTCATATGCGTATATATATTATTGTCTAATATTTAAGGAAGTCCACACAGTTTTGAATTTATATAGTTTTGAAGGGATGCCCTTGAACGAGGACTTAATATGCTGACAGTTCCATCGTTAACCATTAACATGATATTCCAAACAAATATTGAGAGAGAAACTTACGAGAAGTTAGAAGGATGATAAAGAAGAGAACAAGACCAAAGAAGTTCCTCTCCATGCCTTAATCTTCAGATTTTCAAGTCTTCTGCAAATACTAATGTTACTGAGTTACTCCCTCTCTCTCTCTCTCTCTCTCTCTCTCTGCGTGTGTATATATATACACATATAGTACTACGTCATGTTTTTTTTTTTTTTCCACATTCTAGACACATCATCATATGATACACATATACCATTTAAACCTTGGTTACAGGTGGATCTAAGAGTTTATGGTGTCTTCCTTTAGTGTGGACATGTGTTCGGTTAGCAACAAAAGCCGCATGCGTTGTCAACTGGATAGGAGAACGTATACGTGCATGGAACGAAGAGCTATCTGGGTTCATCCAAGAAGAGCCATCTCTGGACTTTCACGATTTCACATTTGAAGAGTAATCAAATAGCTAAATATTAGAAAACAAACTAAAGAACACATGTCAATACAATAAAATTTAGAAAAGAAACTAAAATAACACATTTCAGTACAAACTTATCCCAACTGAGTACAGTCGACCTCTCTCTCTCTCTCTCTCTCGATGGGGAGATTCGAAAAGAAAAAAAAAAAAACTGTATGAGATTTTTATCATAAATGGTCCGGAAATTAACATCATCCCTCAATTGATTAACATCACCAATTGGTTAATACAATCATTAGAACGCAGCTAGGGAAATCAGCAATAATGACACTATTACAATGAACTCTTACAAAATTGAAACCAAGTTGTAATAGCTATAAACGTGACTCATTTTGAATTATTTTTGGACGCAGAAAGATTACCCTTTACTTAATTTTTGCTTTTAGACACAAAGATAACGACAACACAATATAATATAATGACAACTTAAACATATTTTGACATGTTATTATGATGATCAATGTTTATAATGTCAGTATCATCAATGTGTTTTCAATATATAATAGACAAAATATTTTATTACAGAAATGATGATCAATGTTTATATTGTCAATATCATCAATGTGTTTTCAATATATAATAAATATATTATCGTTATTGATTATTTCAGTATGCTTACCCTATATATTATTTCTTTTTCTACTATTCCGGGAACAAAATTTTTGTCATACGGTAATCGGTAAAAATAGTTGTAGTTTTGCAAGTATGATGCCATATATTGTTCTGGGGCAAGTATTTAGCATAGAACGCTTCTGCGTACTGAATTAATACTCTGGTAGAGGAAAAAAATTTAGTACTGAAAATACGGTTCGGTACATATCATAATACAATTGATTAAAAACGTCAAAATTTTTTTTTAACAATTTATATTGTAACTTTGGTATATATATCGAGTTATGTTTCTGGCATATTGAAACATTTCGCTATACAGCAGAAGAAGTTGGAAACTGAAAAGCTCTTATTCAGAGAGCTTATTAATCCTTGGATCATATATATTTGAGTTACCAAGGAGTTCTCGATTTGAACAACCTACAAAGTTGGCCCTTATATTTTTGACGTCCGGCCGACGCCAAAATGAGGCTGATTATTTATCTAATTATAATATATTCAGGACATGGGATCGACGTCTGGAGCTTAATTTATGGTGAGGTTTCAGTTCCATGAGTAGTTTCACTTTCAGCTAGCCGCCCACAAGCCTTTAGGCACCGGCACTGACGCAGGACATGGGAGCATTTGCCGTAACCGAAACCCTCACTGTGGCATTTCACGATACAATGGGTATCGCTGAAGCATAACCCTCTGAATGTTTTGCTTGGAACTTCACAAACCCTAGCTTCACTGTGCATCACCATCTCGTCTGTACAAAAATATTAAAAATCTCAGTTAACTATTAATTACTTTCCAAGTTTCGAAGATATATATGTGAAAGATTGTGTGACAATTTGACTAGATCCTACTTAATTAGAATTATGTTAAAATTCATCAAAATACTAATTTCGATCCATATCACATGTTACAACTGTATGTATAAAATTTTGAGGAGGGAGAGAGGGAGACTTACTAGAAGTTAAGAGGATGATGAAGAACAAAACAAGACCAAAGTAGTTCCTCTCCATGGCTTAAGTCTTCAGATTTTCAAGTGCCTTCTACCACCAATATTATCACTCTCTCTTCCAACATTGCATCTGTATAGACGGGTTTATATAAAGCTTCCAAGCACATGTCATGTATTGTTTCGAGACCCTGCTTTTTTATATCGACATAGATTCATCAGCACATCTGATAATAAAGAAAAATGAATTTTGGTTACAGGTGGATCTAAATTTGCAATGGCTTTCGCCAGGTGTGGTCATGTGTTGGTTCGGCTATATGCGTTGTCAAGTGCATGAGAGTATATATGTGCATGGACATGGAGGAACAGCCATCTGGATCCATGATATATACTATTCGAACAATCATGCATGCAGCTTCACTCCTATCCAATTCACTAATAATACAGTTCTTTTCAGAATTGAAGGGAATTATTGGTCGAACATAATGTATTAATTTCCAAACGTTGTTCAAATTAATTTCTTTTACTTTTACTAAAATGTTGTTGATTATAAGTATCTTGATCTGAACTTTTCTACCATCGTCCTTTGAGTTTTTTAGTGTTTTATCTTCTATTACTTAAGAAACGGTAATTTTAATTATTTTGTTTTTGTCAAAGGTAATTTTAATTATTGGGATCTAACAATCTCTTACTCAACACATCGTCTCCATACTACATCTTATCTTGTTATTTCGGCATTGCTAAAAGAGTGACATTATTGCTAAAAACGTAATAAAAAGTCAAAAGAGTGATGCTACGTTTATCATATATTAATTTATTTTATCTTTAAAATAGAGATAGGGTCTAGCAACACATATGTAGGTCTTATTTCTAGTATAAAGATGATACAAATATGTGGTAAGAGTAACATTTTTTAAGTTAAACCATGAGCTGGTGGTCCAGTGGTAAATGGTAGATTGCGAGGCTTCCTTCAAACTAAAAACTGGAGTCTCGGGTTCGAAACCCGCTACCGGTGTGGAAGCCAGACTTTTGGCCAGAATGAGGCTGAAATGCATCTGTGAGTCTTCCCGGCCCCCGGACTGAGTGGATAACCGTGGCTTACCACCAGTTGTCCCCATTTCAAAAAAAAAACATTTTTGAAGTAAAAAAATTTGACCTTTCCTTGTATTGTCCACTCCATGTTAAAGTCCAATTCTCAAACCCTCCTCCCCGTCCTGACTATTTCTATATTATGTGAAATTGGGAGTTTTCTCCCCAACACCATCCACCCGCCCAGCGCCTATATTAGTGAATGTTTTTATATTTTTTAGTCGGTAACTAGCATTAATTAGTGATTAGTTGTTACTTAATTAGTATTATGATCTTGTGATATTTATCTCTGCTTGAGATTTTAGGTCCAACTCATATAGATATATAACGAATTTGATACTAAATTATTATGAATGACTCATTGTATGCATTAGGCCCTATATCCCTTCTGCCTCTTAGCGTAAATATTTCGTTATACTACTCCATTGAAATTTATTAGCATTGCATTTAAGTTAAATGATATTAATTGATTTTGTTTTTAAATGTTGCGGATATTCAAAATAAAACCTATATAATCTATTTACTATATACTAAAACAGAAATATTAAGAAAACTCTCTCAAAGTAGAATTCTCCATAAACTCTCTGTGACATCATGTTTTTGGCACAATTCCCATGCCAAATCATGTCAGATCGAAACATGAAGTGGCAGAGAGTCCACAGAAAGTCCTACATTTGAGAGAGTCTTTAGCATTATTCATATTAAAATAACTCTTTTCAATCAAAAGAAGTTGAAATGATGATATGAATAATGTTAAGGAGAATAAATTTGTATACAAAAATTAGTAAACTAAATGATTCGGAAGTCGGTGAATTTTTGTATTTATTTGAAAAGTCATGAGTATTATAGTAATTTTATTTTAATGTTATCACCCTCTCTCTCTCTCTCTCTATCTCTCTCTCTCTCTCTCTCTCTCTCTCTCTCTCTCTCTCTCTCTCTCTCTCTCTCTCTCTCTCTCTCTCTCTCTCTCTCTCTCTCTCTCTCTCTCTCTCTCCATTCCCTGTTTTTTCTCTTTATTATTTATCATGACACTTCCTCCAAATTCCAATAAAATCTTCCTAAGCCCATGCGTAGCATGTGTGGAAGTTACTAGTACCTCTCAAACTCAACCTATTTGTTAATAACCTATTATGGTTAGTTTTATTATTTGTTAGATTGAGTTGTAATTAGCTAATTAGCTTTATTAGTTAAGTCTAGTTATTACGCTAAGAAGTATATAATCTTTCATATTTGTTATGACTCTTACAGAATGAATGAAAGATTCATTTTCTCGTTCATCTCTCTTCTCTCTCTGTAGGATGTGCTTACCGTTTCTCTTCGATCCTTTTGTTCGACGTTGAACAAGTTATATCACAATTATATTGCACTCAGAGCTGGAAAAATACAGAGTAGAATACATTTAGCCACCCATGGATACAAGGCTGTTTGGCTTCATATTCTTGCTGCTTCTTTCCTCAACTTCTCGTAAGTCTCTCTCATTACCAAGTTTACACTTTCCTTCTTTTGTATCTGTAGAGGGAAGGTAGAACATCGAAGGAAAATAATCTCTAATACAGTTTTTCCCTTCTTTTTTTTATATAGAAAGAAAAATGAGTACACGGTTAAGTAAATATATAGGGGATCACTCAACCTCTAACCAGTTAGTATTTTAATATGAAATTAACCACTTGTTTGAACTTACTGAACAATATTTTGCATAATATGACCCGATCAATTTTTAGGTTACTATTGAAATTAAGATCATGCATGCAAAAATTCACTAAAATCAGAAGCTGTTTATTTGTCTAATTGTTGCATGACAATAGATGAAGTCAAAGTTGTCAATAAGCAATGAAATGTTCACAATAATAATTGAAGAGCCAAATAATGATATTCTAAATTAAATTTGAACGATTCGAATCATGATAGTACATTGTGGAATGGGCTCAAACAAGTTGTCAGCGCTATCGCTCCTCCCTCCATATATATAGGATGCAACCCGAATCCACCCATGCTCAATCTGGTGTCAAGTCCGATCTAACATGTTAAAATAAAGTAAAAACCCATCCAAATCTAACTTGACTTCAACCCGATCATCTATATTAGTTGAAATTCAATTGTACACATTTTAATTAATTTTTTTCTTTCCATTTTTTGTCATGCATTAAATTTTTACGTAATGAGAAGCACCTCTTCCAATAAACTTAATCAAATTGAGTATAGGGCTTTCAATGTTGTAAAGAGTCTTACGGTTAATTAAATAATTGTAGTTTCTTATGGTACTTATACTTAATGCAGAAATTGCAGTGGCAGCGACGGACTTATGCAGGACCGACGATAGCAAAACATGGGGCGGTGGGAGAAAATGTTTTACCCATATGCACAACGTCGAGTGCAAAAAAAATTGCAAAGAGGAGGGTCACGTGACGGGGTGGTGCACGTGGTATAACTGGTGGTCATGTTCCTGCCACGACTATTGTGATGCCATCGATTGTCATGGTTGGCAAGATTTGTTTCAGAGATGCGCGCCAAACCCACCATAATTCGATCTAGGTGTTGATGCATGCTACCTTCATAAGAATCTTTAAAATGGGATTTCGCTTCATTGTTCATGAAACGAGATAATTTGTATTTTGTGTGTGTTTCATTTTATCATTATGCACTCGTTATTGGTGAGAAAAATAAAAAAATTAAATAGTGCACGATATATGTTTTGAAATGTTAATTAATATCAAACAGTTCTCAAAATAAATTGTTTACTCATGTAACCACGCCAAATTAGAATGAAATTAATATTAAAAAAGACTAACAAAAATTAAAACTCAAGCACTGACTTTATTTATTATTAATCTCAATGATTCATCATATACACTTTATACATCTTATATATCAAGATTAATGAAGGGGAGCTAGCTAAAATTAATATTCATGAAATTTCATGAGTAGTTTGATCCAGGTCACAAGGTTTATAGAACATGCACCGGCGTAGGACATGTGAGCATTTGCCGTAACCATACCCCTCGCTGTGGCGTCTCACCATGCAGTTCCTCTGTATGATGCATATCCCTTTGAATGTTTTACTTGGCTCTGAACAAATCTTTGCTTCACTGTGCATCACCATCTCTCCTGCATATAATCAATAAGTATTCCAACCTTTTAACTAAATTCTAATGCAAATATATTAGCATATATATGTAACTTTTTTTCAATTGAGAGAGAGAGAGAGAGAGACTTACGAGAAGTTATAAGGATGATCATAAAGAACAAAACAAGACCAAAGTTTCTCTCCATGTCTTAATCTTCAAATTTTTAATTTACCTTCTACCAATAATGTTATTTTCTATCTGTCAATGATGTACATGTGTAGCCTGTTTATCTCTATTTACATGTATATAAAGTATCAAATCACACGTCACGTATGGTTTCCAAAACCTTACTTTTTAGTAGCATGGATTTACTTAAGGATTTGGTAATTAAAGAAGATCTATTCAGATCCACTTTGATATTGATATTGATTACTGGTGGATCTAAAGTTTACAATGGCTTTCATCGATTGGAGGATAGTGTACATGTAGATACCAAATTAGGTTACTTATTGTATAGCTTAACCAAACTTTTTTTTGTTTTTTAGAATAAAATATATTGTTGTACTAAAACAGAAGATGCTCTAAGCCATTAATTATCTATGGCAATCGTAACCGGTTACGGCTTTTAGTTTAGTTTTTTTTTTTTTTTTTTGAAAAACGATATTATATACCCTAAGGGGAAGAGAGTGGGCTTTAATCTCGCAATAATGGGTTCAGATTCGCCTTTAGCGAGAGTCGAACCCAATACCTTCTTACAAGTGAAGAGAAATACCACTATACTACAGTACTAAGTGACAAGGCTTTTAGTTATCTTAAGTAAAATGAATTGTTTTAAATATCTTTATATAAGAATTCTTAACAACCAATTTCTTTAATATGACGAAAATATCATGTGGCAGGCCAAAGTGGTGTAAATAATCTACCCACACTTTTCTCGGTTTTTTGGTTAAGATATCAAGTGCTAATAATCTATCCATGTGATAGACTTCAAATTCATCTGTAACAAACATAAA